CATCGCCACCGTTTACCCGAAAGAAATCGAAATCTCTCTTCGCTGCGATTCGATCCTTAGCGGGACCATTGTTACCCTTCACGGATTTGTATGATTCCAAAATGGAAAGCAACATGTTTGCGTCAGAATCGATGGATAAGAGTTTGTTGCAGCTCTGAGTGTCAAAATTTATAGAGAAGAATTATGAATTTCTATAATAAATACATTTTAGATATATAAAGTGGAAACTGGACTGCTGAGATCTATATTACATTCGTATGGAAATATATAATATAGCAGATATTAACCCTCTATAGGCCGAATTTTTTTTATAACCATAGCAAAAATAGAATTGTAAGTACAAATCAACAATGTATTCAACAGTTCTAATAATTTCATTAAAACATACCTTATAATTTTGAAATTATAATGACGTTGCACTTTTACGCCTGAGCGTACAAAAGTTTAAGTTAATTAATTACTTTCATTATATTCTCCACTTTGCCGTGTAAAATGAAATAAACCAACAAGATGCCAATATATTGGTGACTTCAAAGTCACGCAGGTCTATAGAGGGTTAAATAAAACTTTTGATTATTTCCTCTTATTTTTTATTTAGGTACATGCATACTCTATCATAGTTTCACTGCCAAACACCCTTTATTCGACTATCCAATTCAAATAATTCGCAGTACAATACTTCACCGTCCACTATGCAATCTACCACATCAAATGAACGTAAAATGAAAGGAATTTCGTTAGAATTTGATACCTAGAACTCGCATGAATCAACTTTCACCCCCGTTCTCGCCCTGCTTCGTTGTAATTTCGATCAGTGGATAATTAATGCGAATTATTTACCCTCTACTCGCGGCGGCCGCGCTCGCGCTCGCACGTTGTTCAACGTTTTATCGTTTCCTGAAACAAACTCCGCTTCAGGTAGATTTACTCGTGAGTCACCGGCTGATAATTTTAGATCGGATCGGACGAACGTCGGGGATCCGCGGCGCGGCTTCTGTTTTCGCCGCCTTACGCGCCACCTTCCCGATCGTTTTCTTCCCCCTCAACGCGGAATCGGGAGTCCGCCGATCGAACGGAAACGGTTCGACCGTCGCGAAGGCCCGACTGGAGCCGCCGATAGAATCACTCCTGATGAGAAGAAAATATTTCTGGAGCGTCGCGGTCGCGATTCGATCGTATTTTTAGATACCCTTGCACTTGGACGAAATGATCTGCGCCCTGACCCTTTCGAAATTGTTCGACGACCTCTCAATCACCATCGTTCGATGGTCTCTTCTTTGATTTGTTTACAATGCTTGAATTTGGGAATACTTTTTTGATAGTATTTACAGGAGAACTTTACGTACCGTTTGGGAAATTAATTTTTTCATTTGGAAGAATTCCTTAATGAACATAAGTTTTTAATTTTTATATAATTAACTTGGGATTCGTGAATGCTTATTTTGCGTAAGTACGAGAAGACGTTTTCATTTCTAAAAATGAATTTTCATTTAAAATTCTGAGAGAATTCTGAGTTTGTGTGTTTGTATCTGATTGAAATAACATTTTCCTTATAAGTTGTCGAACGCTACAGTTGAAGAAATAAATTTTTTGAATAATCTATCACTACAGGGAAAAGTCAAAATTAGCAGCTCTTGTGTGTTCATAGGGAAACTAGATAATGTATCATAAAATATGAGTTCATGGATTAATTTTAGAGAACGAAGTAAACGAACACACACATGAGTCTAAAAACCAATAGGAATGAAGAAACTGAATTTATATGACGAAGATATGAATACAGAGAACCAAGATATGGGCGCCAATAGTTTTATCTTTCAACATGTTTGCTCTTCAATACCGTCGTATTACAAGTTGCTACAAAATATCAATGTTGAAATGCTTCAAAGTGCCTCTCTTAGATCCTACATTCATTGAACACCCAGTAGAGTATATACACTCTACGTACCTCGAGCATTTTTCGTTACAGACGAATGAAGCAACGATTTAACTTGACAAAATCAACAAAAAATAAAGACTGACTGAAAAACTACATTCATTCTTCTGTAAGAAATGATTTAGTAACCCCTAAAAATCAAAGATTAACAATTCAAATTTCGTACTAAATTTTGCAACAGCTATTCTAAATTACAATAGTGTAATGTAATCTACTAACATCTTTCAGAAATATCGTGTAAAATCAAATTATTGTTATTAAAGTCTGATTCAATACAATCATTAAGAAATATATTAATATATTTTCAATGGGTAAATTAACTTTGGAGTCTTGAATTTCTTTAATTCTCCACAAGTATTAGCGGTCACAAGTTGGTCAGATACCCGATAGTGATCGCGCGACGTTTTCATTGAAAGTAGCGATCGTTGAAAATTAACCGGGCAAAACGAGCGAAGAATTAACCGGATTGTTGGCAATTGGCGACCGGCACGTCGAAACAATTGACGCATAACGAACCCGACACCGCACCGCTCGAACACCGGAATATAAATGAGTAAGACGAGAAATCGATCCCCGGAACAAGCCGACATTTATATTTACGAAATCGGCGTTGATCCGACACTCGAAAACACCGCGTAAAACCAGAACACGGAACGCGCTTGTAGGTATACACATACCTGCGTACGTGTGTGTATCTAATCTCCGATTAAACACGAGCGGCGTGCGTGCATCGTATAATAAAATTGCGGCTCGTTCAACGTGCAATTAATCTATCGAACGTTCCTCGCACGTGGAAGCACCGCTTCCGTTATTAATTCACCACACGGTTTATCGCGCGATACAATTTAGTCGAAATGTAAGACCGGTTCTTACGATTCCCCGGTACGCGAACGTTCAGACGGAAATATCGTCTTATTGGCAACGGAACAAAATATTGTAGGCGCAGCGGTCTCAAATATAATAGAGCTTCGAATTTAATATTTCCTAACGGATAAACATTCCCTCCATAATTTTAGACTTTTTAAATGGTTATGGTTGTGCACTGTTGGCATTACGATGTTTCCCTTCGTTTCGAATATTTTTAACCGAAATATTTCATCAAACCGATCATTTTTTAAACAAGTTGGTAACATTGAGAGTAAAAAACACTTAAATATCGATTATAACGTATTTCGAGGAACCTTCAGAACATCTTCGTTTTTGAAGAATATAAGAAGTTCTAAATGCACTGAACAAGTAACCGATCAAAGAATTATAAAGCATTTCTCCACCGAGCAACGATAAAAATATGAAACAATAGCAATTTTCATTTGACAAAACTATATTAAACACTGTATTTTACGAACACCCTGTATATTACATTTTATCATCAGCAACGCAAGAGATAAATGTTTCGTGTAAATTACAGTACGAAACACGATGTTCCACTGTTCCCATGAAACGATAAACTTTCCGAAACAAATTACCCGATTCAAATTTTCGCGCGAAGAATTCGAACACCCGACGACCAATTAACGAACGACCGCGAAAATTCAAAAACCATTAGGCGTGTTCAGTTCGAAATGAGCACCGCTGCCGTTTCCCAAACAGCATCCTCTCAAACTAAACAAATAGCCGGGGTTGACCAACTACGATCTCAGAATTTTTGTCGTCACGCGAACTGAGCGTATAATGTATCTTCTTCCCGACACTGTCGGGTACACACACGCGGGTTTCGACCGAATCCCGTGGTTCCGCGGCGAGCTGCGCTGTTCCTTTATTGTTATCGTCGATAAATCAAAGCTGAACAATGTCAGTCAGATAAGATCGGTGTATTTTTTAAAACAGATAAGAAACACTTTCATTGGTGGTGAGCGCGTGTACGGGCATCGATAATGCCGCAGAACGAGACAGAGAAGGTGAGAGCGTGGGAGCGAAAGAGGGAGAAGCGGACACGTGCCTGAACTGACGTGTACAGGAGGTGTATCGCGAAAAAAAATGAGAACCACTTTTCGGTACGGTTTTACAACACGCAGCGATTACGGCGCATCGCGGATAGCCGTTTCGTTCCGTCTCTCTCTTTCTTTGTCTCTATCGAACAGCGTCTGCCTCTCTCGCTCCCCGTCGGGCAGGTGTATGGAAAAGAAGAAAAGTACAAACGGGAGGGAAAAAAAAGAGAAAGAGGCACGGTAGTCCCTTCCACCGGGATCTCCCGGGGCTGTTCGCCAGAGAAAAAGACTCGGATTTATGGTCCCCCGGCATTACGTCCGAGCGATTAACCTCTAACGATTCTCTCTTTCCTCCAGCGGCGTCGCCGGAGACACGTGGTACGAGCGGAGGCGATCGCGGAGCACGCCCAGTTCGTGGGCAAACTTTCAACTAATGTCTCCTTTAGATTTATGAAACAGAAGGAATCGCGTAACGTGTTTCACGAGGAGTAGTCTATAGTAACCTTGAACAGGCTTTTTCTCGAGCACAACCGTCAACGGCGACGCGAGGCATGTCACAACAGTGACGCTGTTGCACATGACAGCGGCGAACGAGAGTACAGCGTGCTGGTCCCTGGTGCGTGTGTGACCCGTGTATACATTTTAGGTTAGGTTATGATTACATTTTTTCCACCGTGCCGAGCAGGATACGTGAATGGGAAACTCGCGCGTACCGTGACGAAACAATGGAAAGGGATAGGGAAAACACAAGGAGGAACAGATCTCTCCCGGGGGTTAGTTCACTACGGCGGGGCAGCACTGTCCAAAGCACTGACAAGCAAACCAAAACACAGAGCGGACTGAGTCGGCCGAGGGATACGTCCGGCGCGATCCTCGAGATGATCGAGGGCTCGATCGACCGCACTACTACACCCGGATCTTTCCTTCACCCTCACGGGAGATATCTGTCCACAAAGGCAACACACAGGACCGACGCTCGCAATATTAAACCCGCGATACTTGATCATAGCCAAGTGAGCACTAGAGACACACAGAAGATTTAGCCGTGTATTTTTCACACGGTGCGCACGCACAGCACAGGGATTCCGGTGGCCGTAGCTCGGGAAAGGGACTGTATCGTGGCTGACGACACTCACCGGGCTGCTTGTTGGCGATCTTATTGAAGCAGTTCTGAAAGACCTCGTAGAGATGCATCGGCTCGTCGTCGCTGGCCGCCATGTTTTCACGAGACGAGAAAACGAGTGGACGTCCGTGGTTGAGGCGAGTGGGCACGGTTTCGCGGTGTGGCCGCGCGCGGAGCCACCCTCCTCCCAGAACGGTCACGCACACTACTGAACCACGCCGCCTCACCGACGCGTTTCTTATAGATCAGCAGTGGCGCCACCTTGCCTCGATCACTTGCGCCATCGCAGGTACGCGGTAAATCCAATCTTCATTCTTCCTTCCTTAAGAAACTTTCGAACAAAACATACATTTTTCATCATTCAAAGTTTGAACTAGCATTGGGTTTTATTTCGGCTTTTATAACGTATTTTATGAAATTAATTCAATATACAGAAATTCACGTGAATAAACGTAAATCAATATTTCTTGTACGAAACGAGATAAAATGTTTATCCTATGTTCGACGATACAAATTGCACGTATAAGTGGGATGACATAGATATCTAATTCAAATGAAGTTACTCTCATGAAAAAACTTAAGATTCTAATAATATTGTAGATTTATGTGTAGACAGTAAATTTATTGTTACAAACAATTTTATTCACAAGTTACAAACAACAATACATAATAAATCTTCATTAGTTTAACTTACGAAATATACAACTAAGATAAAATTTATGACTGTATTACAGTATAACATTTCTTTGTGTTGTTATAATACAACTCCTTATCATTGTTAATATATAAACTGATAACAATGGTTGTATGGCAGGCCATATTTCAATGTGTTATTGCTCCAGTACAATGCTGAAAGGAGGTCATGTTTTTAAGATACATAATCATCTCCTTTCGGCTTGTCTTCGTAACGAGTATTTGTATTGGTAAAAAGTTTCTGATTTATGGAAATTTTCTTCTGAAAAATAGATCTGAGTATCGTCGAGTTACATGTGATTATGTATCTTATTATTAACACAAATATAACAACATGTATTGATACCATTTTTGATATCAAACTTTAGCAATGTTAAGTCAAGACCTTAGATTGTAGCAAAGTCAGAATTTTGTGGAATTGGGTGAGATATGTCCTCATAATCCTGTCGTCCAAAACCTAAAATGAAACAATCTTTATAAACATATACTTTTTCTATCTAACCCTTATATACAACACTATAATATGATGCTCATTTCAGAGAATTTGCACATATACTGCTTATAGCTGAAACATATAGTTTGAAACAACTTAAATGGGACAATTACACATGCAAATAGCTTAAAATAAAGTAAATATTTTACAAATACTTAAAAAACTCTCATGCACCTACTTAAAGCAAAACTTTGAAGAAGCAAGGTAGGCCTACAAAACACAGATGTCTGTCCAATGTATTACTGACCCATTGCAGGACTCTGCGAAAACATTGTTGCTAAACAACCGCCTCTCGCTTGGCCTATTCTCAGAATTGATATGCTCGTGAAGACACGTGCAATCATGTTTATGATCATAATTGCTGCGCTAAACTTCTCAGATGCATCTACAAGTTTGTGCGATCAGACAGATACATCTTCTGTATAAGGAGGTTAATCAAAATAATGTAATACCATATGGTATATGTTAGTCATGAATCCAATAAAAAGTAACTCTGACTTACATGTTGTTGGAAAATAAATTGCTAATGTTATTACGTCAAAAAATATGGAAAGTACATTTATTAGCAGTGCCTAAAATGATTGATTCAATTATAAACACATATATATGTATATATATAGACAATACATTATACAACAAAATATAAAGTTACTGGCTTACAAATTGCAATGGTTCATCTGATTCGATATGGTGAATAGCCCATAATATACAAACAAAGAATAAGAAATTGTAAAACATTACTGATCTTGGACACCAATATCCCTGAATACTCCTAAAAATAATATATTTTTATCCATTTAATAAAAGGCCTATAATCTAGACTATAACTGCATTATGAAGTACTTATGGACTGACAGATACTATAATATAAAATTTATCCTTACCATGTTACTAGCACTAAATGAATTGCAAATATCACCTGAAAAAATCCGAGAGGATCGTAAAAGATGATCTCAAAGTATCATAACAGTATATGGTGGTCTGGTTTCACGAAAATCGCGGTAATGTAGCTCTATACCGCCGCGACAATATGAGAAACTCGTCAAACAAGTTCTGGAATTGTTTCATTGCCATCCATCCTTATATAATTGTATTATCACGGTGTTGAAAGAATCATATTAAATCTTGTTCGAAACGTAATTACGGGGCATTATAAAACATCTGTTCTAAGAACTGATCACTTTTAAATATTCGCGTGCGGAGGGTGCAAGGGGAAAGCGATAGGAATGTATAATAGAGGATGGCGAATAATTAACGTGCAACAAATTGCATTTTAAGTTGTGAAGAAAATAATATTTCTTCAGCGAAACATATCACGTAATAGCATAGAAAAAACGCAATAAGAAAATTTTGATAATTTACCTTTAATGGGTAGTGAGATATACTCGAGGTATCTGGCATTTTTTAAGTTAAGGAAGCTTTATTCCAGACTATGAAATTATACCGACTAGTATTCCCTCTTTTTTATGAGAAATAATCTCAGTGTACTACTGAAACACTACTGCTTCCTTGCAAATATCAAAATGTGTACAAAATGATTCACTTCGAAACGCCTCTTCAATGCAACGCGAATAATTTATATGTCAATGGTTACAAAGTATATAGTTCTTCATTTCACTTCTCCAATATGAAACATATAAACAGAAAGCTTTTTCTTAAGTTTTAGTATTCAATGGTGCACAATGAGTTTGTATCGATGCGCGTGTACTCTCTAAAGTTGTGAGATTTCTCTAGAGGTGTCGAACTGCCTCCCCTCAAGCTAGTGATCACTTTTAATCAACATTCCCCTACTACCTCTACTTTAAGCCTCTAGGAGTTTCCCGAGATTGTAAGTATGAGAATCTCTACGAGCGTTCAAGCAAAACAAATGAAAATAAGTGGGGAGTGGGTAATTCCCTGTGAGGGGAAAATCACTATATTGCTCGCGTGCTCCCAGTACAGAATATCTGAAATGAATAAAAGAATATTGACAAATAACATTACAGACTTATAAACCACAACTGTTGGAAACCTTCTCATTAAAAAATACATAGAAATGACTAAACTTGAAGGAAAATAAATATTATGACCTTTTAAAAAATGGATAAACTGACATATGATGCCATCGTGTGGCGGAACATTTCAACTACGAGAATTAAACCTATGTTTAAATCTATGATAATGCTACTGAAGTTCGTTATCAGTATTTCTGTTTTACCACCAACGAGATATAGGATAGACTGAACGTGCGATGTAAATAAATAGAAAATAGGTTTTCTTATTTTTTTTGCTCAATATTACAGTTTTCACACCATCGAACACGAAATCACATAAAATGTCCTGTTTATTCTGTTTCCCGTCGATAATACTACTGTAATACTATCATATTATCACTAGATGGTTATAGTGTTTGCTTGTAAGTTGACTTTTTTAAAGGAAATAATATAGATTAAATTTGAATAAAGATTTTTGAGAAATATATAAATTAATATTGATACGTTAATTTGCTACTAGAAAAGAACATATAGATCTTTTTTATTTGTAGTATGGCGTTTTCAATAGTTTGTAATGATTATTTACTTTGATTGTAATGATGTGCTAGCTTTTCTTAATTCCTTCATGCGAAAGTTATTTATGTAAACATAATATTTGTTAAACATATTAATAATTTGTTATATGAATTGTTACTTAAGAAGATTATTCGTCAATGGTAATATGACAAGCTTAATTGATTATTAAATTATTGATTGAGGTTATATTTTATATAGAGGTTAAGATTATATACTGTGTTTTGTAACTGTATTGACAAAAACATGAATAAAATACTCTCTGCCTCAATTAAAGAGGTCAGCCAAAAAATAAATGCTGGTGATCTGCGTCCTTCGGACGTTACAAAAGCAACTATCAAGTTGACAGAACTTATCAAACCATTAAATGCTTACATTAGTGTAACTGATGAAACAGCAAAGGCAGAAGCACAAGAATCTGATCTTAGGCAGGGGAACCATCAGTTGTTGAGTGGGCTTGATGGAATTCCCATTGCAATTAAAGACAACTATTGCACAAATGGTCATCCGACAACATGTGCTTCAAAAATGCTTTCAAATTTTGTACCTCCGTATAATGCAACTGTATATCAACGTTTGAAAGATTCTGGAGCAATTTTGATTGGTAAAACCAATCTTGATGAATTTGGCATGGGTTCGGGAACTATTGATTCATATTATGGACCAACTAAAAATGTGTGGAATTCTGATGTATTAATAAAATATTATTCTAATGGTTATTTTGAAGAAAAATATACAAAGGAAAATAATGATCAAAATTCATGGCATATAGCAGGTATAATTTAGTAACTTTTTTTTATATTTCCTGTAAATAATATAGTAATTGTAGGTGGAAGCAGTGGTGGTTCTGCAGTGGCTGTTGCCACTGGGAGCTGCTATGCTGCATTAGGTTCTGATACTGGTGGTTCAACTAGAAATCCAGCATCATATTGTGGTATTATTGGATTAAAACCTACTTATGGGTTAGTGTCAAGATTTGGACTTATCCCACTTGTAAATTCTATGGATGTACCTGGTATTTTAGCAAGAAGTGTTGATGATGCAGTATTAATTCTAAATACCATAGCTGGTCCAGATGAAGCAGATTCTACTTGTAATGGCAACAAGTATGTACCATTTAATATACCTGATTCAATAGACGTTAGTAATCTTAAAATTGGAATACCTGAAGAATATCAAGCTGAGGGGATAAGTCCTGATATTCTAGAATGTTGGAATAAAATTTCTGAGCGTTTAAAAGAAGCAGGAGCATCTGTTTCTACAGTATCAATGCCTTATACAAAGTACTCTATATCTTGTTATACAATCTTGAATCGTTGTGATGTTGCAAGCAATTTAGCTTGTTATGATGGTATGCAGTATGGTTATAGAGCCAATGAGTGGGGATCTGTAAACGAATCGTATAAAAAAACAAGGACAGAAGGCTTTGGAAATGTAGTAAAAGAACGTATTCTAGTTGGAAATTACTTTTTATTAGAAGGCAACTATGATCAATATTATGTAAAAGCAATGAGAATGAGAAGACTGATTGCTGAAGATTTTAATGTAGTCTGGAATAACAACATAGATATTTTACTCACTCCTACCACTTTAACACCAGCACCTAGGTACAATGAATTTGTTTCATTGGATAATCAAACCCAATGTGTAGCTCAGGACTATTGCACTCAGCCTGCTAATATGGCAGGTATACCAGCAATCAATGTTCCAATTGAACTTTCTAAAAATGGTTTACCTTTGTCTCTACAACTTATGACTCCTCCTTTTGAAGAGGAAAGGCTTCTTACAGTAGCGAAATGGATTGAACAGACAGTTAAATTTCCCAAGCTTCAACTGAAAGATGCATCCTTGTTTGAATAATAAAATATTTGTTCAGCACTACTGTCTTTCTCAATCTTTATTTATAGTTCATAAATAAAATTCAAAACGTAACAAAAATATTTATATAATAAGATTCTACAAATGTATGTGTAATAAATTATATTTATTAATATAAAAAACCACATACTTCCAAACCCTATTTACTAGAATAATTCTATACTTCGTGTTATTCCGTTTCATCAGTAAGTGCAAATGTTCATTATTCTGTAAACAAATATGAATTACACAATATTTTCTTTATTTAAAAATATTTTCCATATAAATTAATAGAGGTCCGACTTTCTGAGAAACCACAATGATTACGATCCGTCTAAAAAGTAATATTTCACTGACGCTTTATGGTCGCTCATATAACGGCAATTGGAATTTAAATAGATACTGTGTCCTCTTACGCTGTTATTGTAGCACCGTGAGATACAAATTATTGTGCTCCTACGAGCTATCGGCCGTATCTGAAATTCTATTCATCGAGTAATCAGGTCGCGTTTGCTTGCCACGTTGGAGGACCCTTCTGTTATTGCATTGCAATGTACCATGCTCTACGAATGAATGTCAGCCCAATATATATATATACAACTGTAAATTACTTGACACTGGTCGCGAGTATGAAAAGGGTAAAATTTATGTTAAAGTGGACATCCTAACTGAAGCTCAGAAAACTCGAATACTGAATTTTGTGCTTTCTCTTTTACCCTGAGTGGTGCACATTCATGAATTTCGTATTAAAGTACGGTATTCGTACAACATGCCGTAATATTTATACGTATAGACATTTTTTTCTTTGAAATTAACGGGTGAATGACATCGAAAACTGTTAGGAATAGAAATTGCTATTTTAGGGCTGCTGAGGGATTATTCGGACCCTTTGTTATGAATTTTGTTGCCGAGTTTTTGCCAGGGGATGAAATAGGTCTCCCCATATTTAAACAAAATTGTATTCAAATTTAATATAGTTCAACAAACCATTGTTTACAATTTATAAGAAAAGAATAATAAATGAAAAAGGGGATTTAAAATGAAATAAAATGTGTCGAAATAATACATATCAATGTTTTGTTATGATTTTAATAGATGCTTGATTAGATTCATTCTTCTCTTATACTAAAATTAAAAACTCAATGTAAATATTTGATAGAATGAACATTATTCGAATAAATTTCCAATATTTAATTATAAGTTTTTCTTGCGTAGAATAATTATGTTCTGTAAGACTTATCGATTACTACATTCGAGCGACTTTTTTGTTCACTTATTGCCTGCAAAGTTATCGAACCGCGGGTATTCTACAAACAATGTCCTGACATTTCGAAGTCTATTGTCCCCGAGAGGCTTGAGGGATCGAATGACAAACAAACAGCAATGTATATATACGTTTCACATACACACTACCTATTGAAGTTACTTCAATAATTAGATCGTTGTGACATTTCAGTCGATTTTCGTTAGTAATGTTAGACACTTTGAAAACTATTTTTCCTTTGGAAAATAAAGTGCATGTATCAAACTGACTTTATGACTTTCTTTAATGTAAATTGCACCGCCAACGCGAAAATTGTACCCTCCAAAACTTCAAATCTCTTTTTAAATTTCCCGAATGGAAAAATAAACATAAAACGCCGACTCCAGTAATATTCAGTTTTTTCTTGAAAGCCCAAGTAACTTCATTTTACATATCCATATTTTTTTTACCTTTAGCATTTTTTCATGATTCAATTCTCTAATCTTTCCTCTACACTCTAACATATCTTTAACTGTTCAGTACAAATTTCGCATCCCTTCAAAAAGACAGTATTACAATCTAAGAGCACAGTATCTTACGACCCTGTTCCCATTAAAAAATGCCAATACACATTAAAAGGCAACACGAAACATTATCAATCTCTCGCAACCTTTTTTACAAAGATCACCGAATATGGCGTACCCTCGGCGAATTACTAATTACACCCTACGTCAAGCAAATATTTCCCAAAATTTCCAGCTTCGGTGGCACTAGCAAGTAACAATGTCATCATCATTTCCATAACGTTCCATAAGAAGAAATTAATTTAAACAGGAGAAAGGGATGACGAAACATTAGCAACCTTTTGAGAAACATCAGAAGAGTGCGATCGCATTTTAAGGGTGGTCTTGGGGTGAAATAGAAACAGGGTTGGGCACCTTGGGGCGCGAAGGGCGCATGCGTTGACCCGGCCGAGGGCTGTCGTGTCGCACTCTGTCGACGATTCCGCCAGTCGTCGTGACGACCTCGAACCGTCAGTGTCGTGAGCTGCTTGAATTAATTCTGGAATCGTCGCCGTCATCGTCAGTCGTTCGTCTCTCTTGCCTGTCCCTCTTTCTGCTAATTTGACTCACTGTCTCTCCTCCACTCCTTGGTCTCTCACTCTCTCCTCTCCGCCACTGGCTGGTTTTTATCGTTTACCCCGCGAAACGTTCAACGGTGAAACGTGTGGCGATGCCGAAGTGGCGCGTTTCGAACCGCGACCGATTTCGCGCCGCGATCAACAGTGTCGTATATAGTTCGTAAATAGAAACGGATGATCGTTGTGCCCGTTGTGCCCCCGGTGGTTCCCCAAGATCTTTCTCTCCTCGGCAGGCGATTCCATCGGCGGAATCGAGAGTGGTAGGCGCGTTCGTGTTGCGCAGGAACGGATAATTAAACGTAACGGAGATTTAAACAGGTGTGCGGCGACCGAGAAGCTTCCAACGCTCTGGGACCTAAGCGAAGGTAAATATTGTGCGAATTGATTTTTCGTTTTCGGTTGCGCCTTGAACGTGTCGAAGGTCGTCGATGGGTACGGCGCTCGTTTTTATTTACGAGTTGTTCTCGTTGTGACTATCACGTACACTAGGTTACGTTCTTTCAGTCTTTTTTCTTCCCCTTGTAACCCAATTTGGAGGATTTTAGAAATGAATGTACATAGATCTTGTTAGCGTTTGATAGCTGTATCAGAAGTTAACGTGGACGGATGTTGGTTTATATTGGATAACTGCAGTGTGCTTATTGGTGTATCGGAATGGAATGAGCTTTGATGTATCGTTTCTTTCTTTTCTTGAAAGAATTACGTTAATTTGTATGTTTGTCTGAAGGAACGATATGGTTTATATTTGATCTTAATGTGGACTGCGGATGGAAGTATTTTGTTCAATTGTCAGTGCTGTATGAGCTTCTTTTCATGTAGGGAATATTAAGGGAATTTGAAATGTAATGAGCACTGTGGGCGCCATTTGTATTATTGGTTCTGTGGAATCGGGGTACTGCTGTTGAGAATAGTTTCCTTTTTTAATTTCTGCAAGTATTTGTGAATAATACTTGTAACAGGGAATTAATATTCATTAATGATCGATTTAATTTTGTAAATTTTATTTTTTCCAACCCAATTTATTCTTTTTAAATGTTAATGATCTTTTCTTCATTTTGATCTTGTATTTAGCGATGAATGAATTGATTGTAGTTGATGCAGCGATTGACCACACTATTGCCGTTGCTACCGGCGTTATTGATACTCGGTGCGAAAGGTTAGGGTGACTAACAACTGTCAAGTAGCCCGGTGTCAATGGTAACGCGTTGCATTGAGTTATAACGATTGATTAAATAATGGTATTTTACAATGAGCTTATATCGTAGTATAAGTCACAGAAAAAGAATTCTTTTTACATCTACGGACGGATAGAAATAATGAGGAAGTAATTATAATTAATAATTATTTTATTACATTTACACAATGAAATATCATTTGGATGTGATCGTGAATCGTAATATAATTCTCTTGAAATTAATTACCACGGTACAAATAATATATGAAACCTTTTTGAACGACCAAAATTCAATGTTTAAAGTAAGATTAATTAAAATTGCCCCGAGTACTTTAATTATGAAAATTATGCTCCTCCTCTTAAAAAGGTATTTTGTTAAAATTTTCCTACAATCTGTATCTTTACACTACACCGTATTTGCAGAGTAAACAATATAAATTTCAGCGAAAATTGCTTCGTTGAAGAAATAATGTTAAAGTCGAACATTGTTTCAAATCCTGTTTATCATAATAAGGTAAAGTTAGGTTGAAATGACGAGTTAGTGTAATACAATTGGTTACCTTATCACAAACTAATATTTTTACAAGAAATTAGTGAAACGCTCCATGATTCTCGTAGTTCGCAGAATTCGTTGAATTTTCTTCGGTTCCCTTGATAATAGCGGTTTAATAGAAACGTCACGTAGTAAGTGTTTACCGCGACGAAGGAGAACATTAGAGTCACGACTAGAGAGCGAACCGCGGTTGCACACGGCAACGGGACGAGCCGGCGAGATGAGGACGCAGATTCCTGAGAAAGTTTATAGTGATCATGGTTAAAGATATTAAGGTCGAGCGTAAAGCAACGATTTAAACTTTCCCTCGAAACCTTATATTCTCATATGGCATGAAAGCCGATCAATATCCTCGAAATAGAACGAATGGGTACACGCTTCGTGACACGCCGAGCAGAAAAGCAACATTTTCCGAGCCTACGTGCACCCCAATATTAACGGACCCTATTATCACCGGAAAATCAACGAAGTCACGAAAATTTCAGACCTGCTTTTTAGCGAATTTTTAGCGTCGGTTCGATCGTAAATAATCGAAGGGTAAAAAAGAATATTTGATATATTCCCCATCCCGAAGATAAGGGGAATGTAATATAAAAATATTGTTAATTTCATTTTTAAAGAAAACATTTATTTATAGAGTGTAATTAAATGGACCTTCTTTTAGGCGATGCTTTCTTGAAATATTTTTATTGTGTTTGATGAGATATTAGAAAATGGATTGGGTAAAAGATTTTTAACTTTGGAACATGGATACGACATAGATTCAAACACCAAATTTATCAATGTGGATTTCTATTAAAATACTCCTGTGTCGGAACGGACAAAGCTTACTTTTTATCTGTTTTTCCAATTTATTTTTCATCAAAAGAATCTTGTAATATTCCAGACGGTCCGGTTACATAAAACAGATATAAAATGACTTCGTGTTACTATCAAAGCTGAATGGAAACGAAAAAGAAACTTCAAAAGTGACTTCTAGCGTTTCCATTTACTAGGAAATGTAGGGGATCAGTGTTGGCGTCAATGAAACAACGAGCCGAGCTATTCTGAACATTTTTAATTAAATTCTTTTTGAAATTATGCAAAACCGAATAACTACTTCGTATAGTTTCAAACCCAGGAGTAAAATAAAAATAAAAATAACGACAAAAGCAGCAGTAAAATGAAGATAGAAATAAGGACAAAAGCAAAAGTAAAATAAAAATAAAAACTTAAATAAGAAGAAACTTTTTGAAGGATTAAAATTCTTCATTGTCCCTTTGATAACGTCAGTTCCACTTGTCTTCGCGCATTTTTCCGCGGCGACCTCGTTCCTAGCAAAAGACAACGAGGGTTAAATCTAATCTACGCTCGTGTGTCGTGACAAAAAAAAAGAGAGAGAGAGAGAGAAAGAGAAGGAAAAAACAAGGTGCATTACGGCTCCGCAGAAGTACGCGTTACGTGAGTGCAACCCATATCGTTGCACGGGCAAAACAAAAGGGAAGGTAACGAGTTAACGATAAGGAAGCAGCAGCATCGAATGGTTACCGACCGACTAATTTTATTATCGCGAACGAGCCGCGCTCAGTGGACCCCCATTCCCCCGTAATGCTTAATTCCTCACTTCGTTGATTTCCTCGATCGTGATTCCTAAGCACTCTAATCCGACACCTTTATCAGAATTTATTACACTCATTAACACTTCACCTAACGACTGGTTACTTAATGGTCTTCGAAAAATCCGTAATTCACTCTCAGACTTCCACTTGAAAATTTTCTAATGAATTTCACTGCACGGACAGCAATCGTAATCGTAAAGCTAATCGGCTTGGATAACGATATGGAAATTTAGAGATTTTTATTCGAAAGAAATTGAAGAGAAATTTTCTTAACGTTCTCTTTGATATTGTTGTAGCCGTTGCACATATATAAGGGTTGTTCTTCTATTATACTATTTTTGTAAATTCAAAAGAAACTTAGTGTTTACGTAACTATTAATCGTTGCAGTAACCAGTGATTTAGATTTCTAAATTAATGTAATAGAAACTAACGTTATTTCATTGCACGTGAAAGTAAAAAATTATTTTAATAATATCAGTACATTACCTTCGAAATAAATTTCCGTTTACATTGAAATAGAAAATTTCTTTGCTTTTCCAAATTGTTGATAGAGAAAACTCAAACTTCAACTCAAAAGAAAATCGTAAGACAAAGGATTGATAGAGATATTTCTGGTGAGATTAGACATTTATTATTATCTTCATACCTGCATAAAATATTTGCCTCTAAATTGGAGCTCTAATTTTCTGAAAGAATCGCTTAATAATTCGGGCGGTCGAAGAGGAAAATACTGGCGACTCGTGTCATTCTTCCCGTACATCGTTGTTGGTCGAAATTAATTTAGCCCGGCTTGAAATTCGGTTTTATTGATGAGGATTATATTTAGAGAGGTCAGAATGCGCGGCCTGAAAACGCGAGATTTCGTATCATGTGTATTTTTATACATTCTACCGGAGTAGACTCGTCTCTACTGCCACGGGAGTATTAAGTTCCGCTGGAAATTCTAATATAGTCGGTTCCTGATGTTACAACCGGCTGCCTTTGTCGCTTAATGTCTTTCGCGACCGAAAATTTCCAGCTATTTCCATGCAGTTTCTCGGTATTACGGAAATTCAGGATGGGCCCTTGAATTATTTTTCACTCGCGGAATCTAATAACCGATCTATTTTATACCCGAGAATCTGGAACGCAACGCGCTTATCGAAATCTCTGTTAAATTCTTGCATTTCGTACCAGTGGATATTTTATATTCGATTTACATAATTGTGAAATCCTATTAACAGACTGGGAGCATAGAATATTTCGCAATTGTTTAATGTAGAGGATAATCCTTTTCGTATTGAACAGTCCGGGGGACACGTTCATCGATTTCCGAAGTCCAGAGCGTTTTATTTTGAATTTCGGTATATTTTGGAATATTCCGAGCGTCCGTTGAATATAATTATAGATTCTTTTTATATTTAACGATGTTATATGCATTGCGTTTATCGAATTTCTTCCCTTTGCATTCGAAAGCCCAGCACATTTTGAATTCGGTTCACATATTGGTAGATCCTTCCTGGTACGTATTCAAGAGCTTGGAATATTCCGTATTCATCGGGTATAGCGATAGGACTTTTTTATATTTCGAAATTTGAAATATATCGCGTTCATTGAATTCTGCGGTAGACTTTTTTTGCATTTAAATTCTTGGGGCGTTTTGCATCCGGTTCACGTAATTATAGATCTTATTGGTATTAGAGAGTTTAGAATATTTTGCATTCCCTCAATAGTTGAATTGTGGGTATTGCTAATATATTAATAATAATATATTAATACCTTTTGTAATATAATATATTTATAACGCTGATATTTTTGGAAAGTTTGATAAGAACGATGAAATAAGTATATGCAGTGCAAGAATTGGTTTTTAAAAAATTTGTAATATTTCAGTCGTGTTTTTAATATTTTGGTAAATTAAGAAAACATTGTGCAATATATTTTCGAGTTTGAAAGTTGCAAATATAATGCACTCGAATATTTTTATTTAAAAATTTCAAGCATAATGCACTTGAATATTTTTATTTAAAAATTTCAAGCATAATGCACTTGAATATTTTTATTTAAAAATTTCAAGCATAATGCACTTGAATATTTTTATTTAAAAATTTCAAATATAATCCACTCCAATATCTTCAAAATTTCAAATGTAATCCACTACAATATTTGTATTTTAAATTCCAAATACGATGTATTTGCTGTTGCCATGCAATTTCGAAATACTTTGGTCTATATCGCAAAGTTCTCCGCAAATAGTAAAGGTACTTTTTTACTTTGAAACGTCTGATAACTTTTCCATTTACCTTTCTTCTCCTCCTTGCGCTTAAACGCAGAGGATATTTCGCATTCATCGGGGGACATTGGCGGATCCTTTTTCCCTTGATACCCGGTATCTCTTAAACAAAAGGATCTGCGGAATGCTGCGTACTTTTCCCGCGACGCAGATGATCCATTCGAGGTTCAATTGGAGTACAAAAGGCACGTTTACGGACAATACGCATCACCGGGCCTTCGAATGGCTTCCCCCTTTTGATACGCGACTCGCGACTAAGTACCTAAACTCACTGTCACTGATATCTTTCTTCGCCGACAATGGATATCCCCTCTCGCAGCTTGAATTATGATGTTGCGAATAGACGAGTGGGATCCATTCTGACAGAACAGAACGTTGTAAAAAGAGGAAAATAAAAATGTCGAACTTGAACGACTTTAGCTTCGATTGATACCTATCTAAAGTTATCATGTTCGTACACTATTTTGTTACTTACGCAACGCTGAATGTCATAGTAAATACTTGTTAAAAAATGTTACGATCAGACGAGTTGGATTCATTCGAACTAGAAGAGAACATAGTACAAGTAAATGAAAATATCGAACTTCCAGAATTTTAGCTTCGGCTTATGCTCAGATAAAATTACCACGTTCGTAAATGATTTCTCTATTTACCCAAAATGTTCCAGAGTCGTTACAAAAATTAGTTCTAAACGTCACTATGAAAAACATTGAAAAGATGCGTCGTTCTTAACCATAAAAGAGTTTAAAATCATGATCCACAGACGGTTTAGATGTTAGTTGACAGATCAAACAGATGTTTAATCCGTGAAAATTGGAATTTATATAAAGAATCTCAGTTTATTCTTCAGAATATTCATCAGTTGAAAATATGTTTCATTACTCTCTCAATGATACAGCAAAATTGTTCAATTTCAAGGGTGTGGACAGAGGTCTAACAGTCCAGATGTTACAGTATACTTGACGCGGTACCGTGTGCCATTTCGCGGCCACTTGATTCGCCCTATTGTCGAACGAATCAGGTTTTCTCTGTTGACGGTATTTTTGCTAACATCCCACCGAATAACACGAGGTATTTACATTAACGTCAAAGCGACACTGATATCTCTCTTGGCTAACAATGGCAGCCCTCGAAACGGTTTGAATTACAGCATCGCCAACCGGTTCGAGTGGATAAATGGTACCTGATCCCACTCGGCTTGGCACGTGATGCAAAGTAGGGTCAAGCCGGCGGGTATCTAGACAAAACTAAGGCTCACTGAAGTTTATAGTGCAACGACCCCTAGTCTGGCTAACGATCAACAGAGTCGGTGAAATCATTTATTGATGGGAGAGGTATACACGGTCGTAGATAGCTGCAGAAGTAGAGCAGTTTACTTTTACCTGGTTCCGTGGATCGTTCGTTAACCAT